GTACATGCTGATATTTCAGGCAATCACCGAAGTTCCTTGCACAACAAATTTGTCATCCACACCTTGAGGAACTTCGGCTTCACCAGCTATGAGGTATGTGTGTGACACAACAGGAGCATACAAATACCTTCACTAAACGGCACATCTTGCAGAATTTGACTCAGAGAACCTGTCTAATGATGCAGCGTGTCCCCTAAAATAAGTTCCGTGTATTTCACCGCAAACACAAACTATGCATTCCCAAGGTCTCAGTCTCCACTCAAATGTAGCACTAGCAGTCCGGACGAGACGCTAATGTTTCAGAACTTGCCATCTCATTCGAACTTATAAGTGATTTACAAAACGATTCGATGGCAAAGTGTGGCTCGTTTCTGTAAGCTCATGACATTCATTTCCGTGAATTCGGGGGGGCCGCCATTTCCGTATATAAATATTTCCGAAAGTTACTTATAACGTTCGATTAAATTAACAAGTGGTTCTGAAATTTTGCTATTTGGTCCAGACTGCTTGCGCTATATATGAGAGCAAACATGGCGCTGTGCAACACATGGTTCATTTTTGCAGTAAAAATAACACACTTTTTGGGGGGACACCTTCGACAAAATGGTGAGTGTGCAGTATCATGTACAAACTAAACATCTATTGACATCGTTTTAAAAAGAACATGGGCTGTTTTTTTAACTAAGGAATTATGGTACATGTTATGTAATTCAGAGATTAGGAACATGTTGTAGGAATAACGTTAGCAGGGATATCTACCGTATACTTAAAGGGGCCCTGCAACAACTTCTTGGCTGGTTTTTAATTTGCACCGAACCTGAGCGCACTGAACGTAGTAACTTAATCAAACTTTTCTTTTCTCGCATTTCGCTTTATTTTAAAAGTTAAAGGCAAATTAAAATTACAAAAACAAGCAAAAATTAACATCCTTCATGACGTCGTTGGTCGCGGCTTGAGTGGCCGTGAACTAGAGGAGGGGTATGAGCTCAGCGAGCGCTCACGGCTGCCGCACTCCGTGTCGACGGCACGAGAGGGCGCCACTAAACCACGTGCTAGATAGGCTGTATGAAGCGGGCTGCCAGGGCGGCTCGCATTGCATTTGCTGCGCGATTAAGCACTACCACGACCAACAGCAAACACGGGGTAAAGATCAGTTCAGAATGGGAGCTACTTCGCGCTGCAACACCGCCAAACGGCCAAATCGCAAGTCAAACCTGCTTGCCGAAAGCCTTCGGAATGCTCTGAACCGGTCAGATCCTCGAGCCCGTATACGAGAGCAACGCCGCCGCGTATATCCGGGACCTTTCTACGCTCGCCACTCGTCGGTGCCTGATCCAGACTTGTTCCTATCTCAAATACTCCACTCAAGATACTGTATTTCAAATACTTTTTGAAGAATCTTGATATCTTGCAAATACTTTTGATCCACACTATTTTATACTCTATTTTAATTACATTTCTGAGTCTCTTGTACTCCTTGTCTCAAATACATTTTTGACATTCCGCAATTTTCCGAGTTTTTAAGCATGAAGTGTCGCTGGCGTGGCACGAGCAAACGTGAACATTCGAACAACCAAGTCCTGTTGCTAGCTCCGATAAGTTACGGTGACTTAGATTGAGCTCGCGAAAACATCGCTTTTGAAACGATTGTGAGTCATATTTCACCAGAAATTTCGTACCATGAAGGTTTTCCCTTCGCCTTCCCAAAGCCAGCTTTTGTTTTGTAGAGTTTCCCCAAAAAAACGCCTCAAGCAAAAGAGGTGTGTTTACAGAAGCAAAGACTGCCACACTGAGGCGCAACGGAGAAGGGGAAACGACACACGACAACAATGCAGACTGAAGTGTCAAGAAAGTAACAAGTAGAAGAAAATGAGTACTGAACACAAAAAGAAGACGCTTTTTTTGCTTGCATATTTAATTCCTCTACGGTAAAATGTCAACCTCCTTTTTCCTTTATATTTTTTGTCGTTAGTTTGGCACTTATTGCTCTCGCGAACACTGTTTGTAAGCGAACCTTGATAAGCAGAGAAGAGGACAGGAAACGAACTTCGAGCAGGATGACCTCTCAAAAGGCCATCAAAGTGTCGCCCAACGTTGGTTGACTTATTGAAAGCAACCTACTTGAAGAAGGTGCGACTAAAGGCCCTTGATGAAGGCTTTTTTTACAAGTACCGCAAACCATTGTTGTGGAAACGCGCGAGACACGTGCCGCGAGCGCGTGCTCCGCCGCCATTTGCTTCCAAGGGCCGCTCATTTCAGTGCTGCACCGCCATTTGCTTCCAAGGGCCGCTCGACACATGGGCCTCGTGCACTCGCGCATTTGGCGCTACTTGCAAGACACGTAAACACATCGAGGGGCTTTAGGTGCGACCAGTGCCTTGGCTATTATGTGGGCTCTCTTTGTTATTCATTCGCTCATTTCCGTGTCCCAAGTTCGTTTATAGTGAACTGCCCATAAAGGGAATATGGATTGTGGTTAAAGGATGTCTCTAAGGTGCGCGGGTTACCATAGCTGAAGCAACCTGTTTTTAGTTTGTTTTTTGTCCCAGAAATATTTTGTAACATGTATCAGTTTTCTCCTGCTCCTTATAGTTAAACTGCATCAAATTACCTTACTTTTTTGCCGTTTTGTTTTGTTCCGTGCTAAAAACCATCCTGGTAAACCAGATTTGCGCAGCTGTATAATTGTCGTTGTCAATGACGTCGGTACAAATTAAGCAATGTGGAAGTATCTTCAAGAGTAATTGAATTACATTTCTAAGTATTTGTAACCTACTCAACCTACTTTACAGTGAAAGTAACTTGAGTAGTATTTTAAGTACTTTATGAAGCAGGTATTTAGTAAATTCACTTAAATACTTTTATCGAGTATTTGTCGAACACTGGCCTGATCCCACAACCCCTTTCTAGGATGCGCCGCCTTTTCCCCCGCTCGGTGGCGGGTGTGTCGACGGTTCGTTTCTTGTTTCCGTACTTTATAAAATGCATTTGTTTCTTTTTTGATCTAAAATACTGAACAAAATATACTTTTATAAATAATTGAAACGGTTCGCGCCACTTATATTTTGAATTTCGACTGAAAAAAAGCTTTTAGCGGCTCTGACCAGGCCGGGTAAGGCCAGGACCAAAGACTTCACGCATCGCGCGCTTTCGGTACCGCGGGTCGCCCCCGCAGGCAGAGGAGGTTAACGCGTCGTCCGGTTAAAATATGACGAACTGATATTGAGTTACTTTCTCCGTGCCCGCTGGCTTGCCCGAACCCCAAAAGACGTGGAAACTGCAAAAAAGTTAGACGCTTAAAGATGATTGCAGGGCCTCTTCAAACGGTATCTTTTCTAACAGTTCAGAATACGAGGGCGCGGCAGAACAGATGGACAGGCAAGAGGCACACCATTGGCAGCTGGAGTGTGACGTCAAATCTGACAAACACCGACGTCAAAAAAAAGCGAAGGCGACAAAAAAAAAAAAAAAAAAGATCAATTGCGTTTGACCTTGGCACACTTTGGTCGGCAGATTTTAGCTGCCACATTTACTCACAACACGTCTGTTCTTAAAGGCAATAGTGCTTTTGTGATGTCTTCATTGAACGCTACGATCGTAACAGTAAAATGTCTGCGAGTATGCCCATTCATCGTCTGCTTTTCTTTATTGTTTTTTTTTTAATTGTTCGATGACGCAAAATAACTAAAATAGCAGGATTAGCGCAATAAACTTCAGCTCCACTTGACGTCATCCTGTTAATGAACTGTGCCACGACGCACAGTACTTAAGAAGAGCAGAATGCTTTGTCTTTGGCTTCAATCACCAGCAATGAAAACCTCTTTTGAATTTAGAAAGATAACATCCTAAGTTAAGTGGGTAAAATTTCAAATTTGTCAATCATTAAAAAAGGGGAAATTTCTTATTACAAATGTAATCTATTGCACAAATTTCCAAACAAAAACAATGTACACCTGAAAGAAGTGAAATAAACTTTTTGCAGCTGTAGATGTAAACATTGGCGATCGCTGGAATTGGTGTAATTTTCTTCACAGCGTTTTGAGATGTTTTGCTGACTTCTGACAAACATTTATGCTACAGTTAGAAAAAAGAAGAAGAGAGGTCACGCATCTACTTGCCATATAACGTTAACACATGCAATCATGACGATCTACGAAAGAAGCTCAATGAATGACAAGGCCGCAAACACTCTTTCAACACAAACTAAAATCGGCAATGATCGACCGGGCATTCCGCGATGTTTCATATGCGCACGCAATGCACTGGATCACATTGCCGACTTCATTTTCACGTCGAAACTTTTTTTTTGTTTTCACGGTTTGCTAATATTATTATTTTTTTCGTTCGTCACTATGATAGGGTCTCCGAGTGATCTATGGGAAATCGGACGCATTCATATTTCTAAGAGTCTATTGTCGTTTGCAAACAGCCACACGTCGCAACGGTGGTCTGAAGGGCCCTACACATAATTCTACGATACTCAGTGTGCTTTGCCACAGTGACAAAAAAAAACAAAACAAAAAAAACATTGACAAAGACAAGAACAACAAAAACCTCAGCAGCAAACAACACCACACTAGTTAGCGCAAAACTAGCGCGAGCAAAAACACCAAAATCTCGCCCACCCCGGCTGCAAGCCAACTCGGGAAAGACCATCCCAAGTGCACCATTCCTCCTCGATCGCGCGTTTAAAACCCGGCGTGTGCTCGTACGCGCGAAACAGCAAATAACTTTTATTTTTCTCAAATAGCATTAAGAGAAAATCTATATATATATATATATAAAAGAAGCTCTGCCAGCACCACCGCTGCTCCGTCGGATTTAGGACCAGGCAGCAGCTCGGAAGAGAACGGGACCCAGTTCGGCGGTGTGGGGGTGAACGGTGTGATGGGCGTGCCAGCATCCCCCCGCGGGCCCTCCCTCGTGCACTTCGGGAGCGGCCGACGGAGGCGGTGCTTTGGCCGAGCTCGTTGCCGAAGCCTCACTCGCGTCGGCGACGCGGCCGCGAACGCTTCCCCTCCATCGGTGGATCGGCGGATGGCGAGTGCAACGTGAACGATATCGCTCGTCGCGCTCCTCTCGGTTTTCATCCTCTTCTCCATCATCCGACACTGTTGTTTCTGATTTTGTTGTTGTTGTTGTTGCGTCCGAGTGTTCCTCCTGATTTGGAGTGTGGGTGTGCGTGCGTCTTACTTTTTTTGTTTGTGAGAGTGATTCGGCCGCCCGCGCGGAACTGATCCACTGGAGCGCTGGATACTTCGAGATACGCGGCAAGGTGAGATATTCGGGTTTGGCGGAATTTTCTTCTTCTTTACGCGGATTTATGCTCGTTCTCGGCAATTTTTTTTATTTTTTGAGATTTAGATTTTTGCGTGTTTACGTCGGAAATTACACGATGCGAGTTCGCATATTAGGAGCATTCGTGTCTATAGACTGGTCGCTCACGCACATGTTGCTGACCGGGTTATCTCGCTTGATCTAATGTTAAAGCAATTTTGGATTTGCAACCTTTCAAATACTCAAGGAAGACCCGCCGGAATGTGTAGCATCATTGAATTATGGATTTAACGGATGGTACGTTTCCAATTTCTTTTTTCTTCTCCGAGGTATCGTTCGTGTATATGTTAATTTAACGTGTTAACAAAGAAATGCAATAAGTTAAGTGGAAGGACTGTAGACAAACCAAATCTGCTCGAACTCGTTTAATTTTTTTGCGGTAATAAATATAGCTATCGTCTTATTTAAAATTTAAACGAATTATACAAAACGTAAGGATTGGTTTCCGTTTTATTAATGTATAAGAATCTTCGAAATGTTTTAGTCGGGACAACTATTCCCATATAACGAAAACAGTCTGGAAATATGTTCAGCAGCAGCGTCCTCGTAGTCCCTTCAGTGACTACATTTATAAGAAGTCCTCGCGTTCGTTAAGTGGAATACGTTCCAAACGTGTCAAGTCTATCAGGTAAGCGCGACTTCTCAACTCCGTAGTACCGGGTGTTTATGAGAAAAGAGTACTGAGCTTTCTGCCTCGCGTAGATAAAGCACATATCAGTGGAAACCGAAATTCCGCGAGAAGTAAACGCTTGCTATGGTGATAGAACACGAAAGTTTGATAATATCACGTTACTTGGATCAAAAGATAAAAGGCAAGGACGAACGTTCTCTGAGCCGATGTCTACCTGAGCCTAAAATCGGGAAAGCAAGAAAGTGCATTCTGGATTCATGCGAAATTTCTTTCTGTGAAAAACACTTGTCAGCCAGAAATAGAGTGATGTTTTCTTTCATGATGACGAGCTTTTTGAACTGAAATAAATGCTACAGACAGCCATAATGTCATGTTTTTAGAATATTAGGCCTATGGATGGACGTCGGCTCATAGATATATTTGGTTTGTTCTCTTTTATCTGTTCATTACCTTTCTCATTTAACCTGATGTTCTCATATCTTCGAGTTCTATCACCGTTGCTAGCCTCATGTTCTCGAGGAGGTTGAACTTTCTGCGATGCGTAGTTTGTTTGGTTGGTTGGCATTTTATTGGCAAACATTAATGTAGCCACAACAGCGTGATGAACGTCCTGTGCCTTCGATGAACAATCGATCTGCAAAGGTTGTAACTGATCTTCCATCACGGTGGAGAATAAAAATCAAATAGAATCATGATTTATATCGTGATGGAAATCACACTAGGTTTGCTACGATAATTTAAATCAACCCTTTCCACCATTAATTATTATCAAAACACTTTTTTTGTCTGTTTGATTATCATTTGGTGTTTTTTATTTGCCCTTGTTTCGTATTTAAATAAAAGAATCGCCATGCCAAACAGATTTATCGAAGCAGGTTGAACACGAACAACTCTTCTAAGCAAATCAGAAAGTTAAGTTTCTTTGTTTGTTTCTTTATTTACGTTCCACTTTGTTTGTCGATTACGTAATTTCTTCTGCAAGCAAATTAAAGTGGGAAAGAAACAAACACAAGCAAATTACTCAATTATCGCAAGCAATTCACAAAAAAAAACACATAAAAATACAGCAGTCTCATTAACTAAATTAATCAGTTGCGTTCGTTCTAGTATGACGGGTTTATATTAATAAGAAGTTGTGAATTAAACTGCACTTAGAAGGTTTTAATGTACAGTAATCATTTCTGTCGAATTGTATTCAGTGATCTAACGGATTGATCATTTAGTGGCAATTTTTTCTTTCTAACAGATCTTCTTGTTGATGTAGACCAGCTGCCTGTGCACAATGTTTATTTTGCTAAGCTATTACTGTTTTTTTTTATGGAATCACTGATGTGGCGTTTGTTGGCGATTTGGTTTCTCCAAGAACGACTGTTAACAAGTTCAGAGATAGGAAGGGAGATAAAGAAAAAAAAATTTACATTAAATCACAAAAAAAGAAAAAGAAAACGATGAGCCCTTACGTTTCAAGGTCAAACATATTAATAAACTCAAAACCCGCTTTTGTTTTATACCGCTTGTTTGAGTTTCCAGTTGTCAAGTTCGGCTTTTACGGTGTGACGTAATTAACGCGACGAACGAGGTGGTGAATCGTCCCTGGGCAATTAACCGGAATATATAAAAATAATTATAGTTATTGTAGCAACATTGTATAAAAATAAATCGGTTTAGTTCTTTATTATAACCGCGAGGAGCAAGACTGATTTGATGCGAGTTTCCTGGTGGTGATGCGAAGGGCATGTTTGCCGTAACAACAGGGTATTATTGTTTATTTTCGTGAACTTGAACTATTTGGCACATACTTTCAATTGAAGTATATGTACAATAACCGGAGTGCCACATTCATGATGCACGCATAATAACCGGACACCGACGCGGTTTGTCTTCATTGCGCTCTGCACTGCACTGTGCACTGCAGTGATCGTAATTTATTATTGTTATTCAAAGCTTTGCTCCTTTCAATTATGTTGTTTCCAACATTTTTTTCGCACCCCTCTATATTGGGGAATTTACGGGTTCAATATAGACTCGCTAGTCACGCAAAGTGCAGGTTACTATACTATGTAGTCGATTGAGACGCACTCATTAAGACTGCATTTTTTACACACTGGATAAATTATTCTTGTTGGGCCTTGGTAACATTAGTGGCTAATGTGCCTTTGACAAATAATTTAGGAATTACTTAAAGACTTTACTGACTGTCTTTGTTGTCGTTTTCTTCGATCCACGTACAGTGAACGAGCAAACATGATATAGAGCGCCTGGGTGGTCCTTGGATTTTCCCGCGTCCGCCGCACGCTTGCTATATGGTCACTGACAGGACAAGAAGCTGAGGGCTTCTCTCCGTGATGCCGATTTCTCGAACACGCGCACGTTGCCTTCCGTCATGCCTTGGGTGCGCGTGCGAGCTCGAGGCCGAAATGGAAAAGGTGGAGCGGCAGCCAATGGATGAGGGGAGAGCCACGTGAGTGGCGCCCCACTGCGGCGAGACACCACAACACACTTCTCCCGAGCGAACAAGTGTGTTTCGGGCCCTCGCCGCTGCAAAACCAGTGTGCTGACGTCAAGGGTTCCCCGAGAAATGGCTCTTTGATGCTCTGTGCTACCAGATCCTCGCGCTCCAAATCTGCTCCCGGGCACTTAATGGCTCTGTCGTCGAACTGCTAGTCTTTTTGTGTATGAAGGAAGCTACGCAATAACACTTCGGCGCGACGTAAGCTTCGAACGTGCACGCGCAGTCAAAACACAACTGAAGACAACGATCCACTTGCTATGGAAATGGGCACCTAATTTTTTGCTTGTGTGTAGCAGAATTTAATGCTTTCTTGCAAAAGAATATATTTGTAAAGGGATTGTCCGGTAAAATGTTATTTTTCAGAAAACAATAAAAAATATATTCAGTACTTTTAGGAATATCATCCGCGCAATATCAAAATTTTTAATCATCCGCCACACTAGAAACTCGAATCTCAAAGAGAGTTCAACTGCTCAGATTGCACCTGCGAAGAAATCGTTGGCAACAGCGGAACCTCTGACGTAGCAGCAGGCAAAGAGAGCCACCTCAGCTTTTGACTGCTGTCTCGGTAAAATAACCTCGTTAAGAAAAAGACGAGATTTACGGTATTGAGAGAAGCTTCATAGTTCTACGATAATCTTTGTACCCACCATGAACCATGTTGATCAAAACCGAGAATAAATCAACGCGCGCAACTCTGGCGTTGCCATGCCTGATGTGACGTCACGACATGACCTGTCATGCTTGCTAAATTTTGCGTGAGGTTTCGTATTCATGCTCCTAATTAATTTAACGAATATTGGGGCGTCTTTTAAGGAAATATATATCACATATAACTATTTTTAGGGCCTCTCTATACACGACCAGCGCAAAAACTTTGTAACTTCCGGATATCACCGGACAATTCCTTTAAACCGGGCTTACACTGTTCATACATCCTACAAACGACAGTCTGCAAACAGGAGTTACCGCAATATTCGGGGTTCGAATGCCGCGTTCCGAGTTTCTCCTTGGACTGATTGCCACGCGGCATTCGAAGCACGGGTGACTCCGTTCGAATCTGTATGCAGTGTCTTTTGTATAACGTATGCAGTGTGACCCCGGCTTTACGGTTAGGTTTACGCAGATACTGCACTGCTATGCCCCCCCCCCCCCCCCCCCCAAATGGGTCACAGTAATGGGTGTGCGATGTCGGAAATTTGTAAAAAAAAAAAAAAAGGTTCGTAATCCTTAAAATACGTTTTGCATCTGTGTTCGAATCATTTCATCTAAATGGAGTTGCATGAATCGTTTCCTTTAACTTACGGCGATCATAACTCTTCAGATAACGGCAAACTTTACTGGCATGGTTCCTACTACCAGAACTTGCTTTCGACTTCTTTGACGCGTGCGTAAAAGTGGGGTGGGGCGTACAAATGACGTCAAGCCGCTACACGCGTAACACTGTACAGAGTGCCTGCAAGAAAAAAAAAACCGTTGCAAAAACAAAAAAAAAAACAAAGTTTAACGATTGAGAAATTTTTTTTTTTTTAGCTCACATTCTTTACGTTTGTGGAACCCACATCATTCTGATATACTGTATGAAAAGAGGCGATCGATGAGAAGGACCAAAATGAATATTAGTCTCACGCACCCTTGTTCTCTATAGCCCAGTAAACAAAGACGGCAGAGCGCAAGTTTAACCGTTCAGACGCAGTCGATGCCATAGGAACTGATGGGACCAATCAGACAGCATCAAAAGCGCACCATCATTGTGTTCGTCATGTCTCTGCACGTGTCCTACCATCGCTGAACC